ATAGATGACACTAACATAAACATTTGGTGAAAATTTCAAGTATTTACAGTGATTAGTTTTTGAATTACAACCATATAAAAAAATCGATTTTGTCGAAAACTGATTTTGCATAAAAATTCCCGTTTTTCTGTCATTTTTTTTTTTGTTTTTCCCGATTTTTTTGAAAACTGTTGGAAAATGTTTACTTTTTACCTCTATAATGCACCAAGGATCTTTAATTTTACATCGGAAACCACGCCCAAAGTTTGAAATCAAAGCATTATTTCGACTAGTTATGCTGTACACAGACACAAAAAAAAACACACATCATTGTAAAATCAATACATTCATCATTTCGTTTAGCATCTAAAAATGACTAAAAAAAAATTACTGTATTATAGTATTTGAATACTGATATCCAAATATTTCAATACTCGAATTATTTAGAGTAAAACGATTCCAATATTCGAATAATTCCCATCACTAGTTTATATACATATACAGGCCACAGGGTGATTCTTTTATCGTTGAACATTATTTCAAAAAGAATTAAAGTTTTAACCTAACGCGGTAAATTTGTACTATTATATACAATTAATATACATAAGGTATAAATTGTAAATATAAGTTGTATACTTAAGTAACAAGTATATAAAAAAAGTAGTCAATTATATTCTATGAAAAATTTTATTAGAAATTGTAAATACATAATAGGCATTTAAATTATTATTATAACATCTATTACACATTTATTATACAATAATATTATATTAGATTATATTATACAATATTACATATTTACATTTGCTTATAAAATGTGGATTATTATAAGTATGTACTATCTCTAAAATAATAAAGATCGTTTAAAGTTATTTGTGTTGTATAAGAAGTATACATATAAATTTGAATTTTTTTTATAATTTTCACTTCAAGTTTGAAGTACTCTACAACGAGGATTTCAAACAATATATTTTTGAATATGTTGCAGGGGAAGATCATTAAAATAATTACCTAAGTTAAAACTAATTAAACTTTAATTTTTAAACTATAGTTATATAAAACATATATAATATAATAATAATTATTATTATAACTTTTATGGAGATTAAGATAGGGTAAATTCATTGTAAGTTTTGATCTTGACTAGCCGGGTATAATAAACGATGGATACAAAAACTTTGAATCAAATAGAGTGGGTATTTTTAACGAGCAACGGAGTGCTTAAACATGATATATAATAAAATAAATATTAATACAATAAACTGATCAAACGAACAATTTTTCTTCTTTATATTATAAAACCCTTTTAACCGCAGCAGGGGTTGAATTTTGAAAAATCCTATCTTAAGGAGTTCCATACTCATATCTTCAGTGGTTTCGGTGAGGTCATTTTTTTCATTTTTAATCTTTTGAAAATCCTTTCTTAATGGCCTATATCACAAAACAAAACTACTGTCCAAATTTCATACTCATAGCATTAGCGGTTCCGGCTAGGCGATGATGAAATAGTATATAAGTATATATACATTTTGATTTCTGGACTTCAACCTATTAGCGTATGCACTGCGTTCATGGCCAGGAGACACCAGTACACCACGGAGTAGTTAGCTGATGCTGATATGTCTCTAAAAATATTTTTTTAGTTATTATACTTGAACAATTGTCTTTAAATTCATTATGCTTTCATGTCTATTTAAAAGTAAGTTAATCTTTTTTTTGTTTAGTTACTAAATATTGCCACTTATAAATACATTGTTTCCCTTATTTTCCACTGACATATAGGTAACTATAATCATAATTTTCCTGGTCATGATTATGCGTGGATGACAGTCTTATAAATATTACTTTTATTTTGTATTTCAAGTACATTAAAAAATCATATTCAAATACTCGAAAAGTATTTAAATATTAAGTATACCTATACTCTATAGGTATATTACAGGAAATTAACTTGGGTCAATCAATCATWTTTCATTCAACGAGAAATTTTTTTGTTTCAAAATTGTATTTATTTGCCTGACTTTTAAAAGAAAAAAATTATTCAAAATACTTTTTTCAAAAATTATTGAAAAAAAATGAATTTAAATAATTCTAGGTATTTGAATATTTTACAAGACTGATAAGCACGTTGCTGGGAATCAACATGCAGCCACTTTAATAAAAATGACTAACACTTTTAGTTACCTATCATTAAAAAATGAAAATACTAACGATCAAGGGACTTTGATAGGTTAACAACTGAGTAACCTTTTATTATGTAAGTACTAGAGTTCGGATGTTTATGCTCTTAAAACTATTGTAATATGCTGCATGCATGCATATGCACTAAAAAATTACGATACATGCAATCAAAATATGTGCTAACAATTATAAATAATTAATACAAATAGAGTTAACACAGTTGTACATAAATAACAAATATTAAATATTAAATAACAAAGTTACAAATTTAAAATGAACACTTTTCTTTCTTGTTACCTATAGTTGATAATAAATTATAACTTATTAATTTAAGTTATACATTTATAAGTTTTAACTATAGTCTATAAGTATAATTTTAACTTTTAAAACTAATAAAAATTATAATAAAAAACAAATCACATAATATTTAAAAAATAATAATTTTCCCTTTTTTGCAGTTATTAAACATTCCTTGTTTAAGTTTTTTTATAACAATTAAAGTGTTTAATTTTTAATACAATCAAATATTTAATCTATGTATGATAAATTGTTTTTTTTCATATCGGGACAAATATCGGTTTTAAAAAAAAACCGATAGGTACTGATAAAACCGATATTGCCAATATCGGCCGATAATCGATATCGGTTTATATATCGGCTCAGCCCTAATAAAAATACAAAAATATGAACAAAAATTTTATTTTTATTTATGATCTTTTTAATACAAATTAAAATACATTTTTTTAAATTTACATACAATGCACGTATCAACCGACACGGCAATTTAAGTCGTACTAATACGTTGTCCAGTCGTCGCTGTATTCAAAATTCTATATTATTGATATATTATGTACATGTTAGGTGCCTAATAAAGTACTCTAGTCCCGAACAATTGGAACAAACACGATAATAAACATTTATATTTTACCTCAATGCGTGGTAGATTGTAGTTACTATACCTATATAATAATAAGTAACTCTATTTCTGGCATAGTAAAATAAATAAAATTACGAAATAATCAATCACAATTAACATCAATACTAATTTGGTAAATATAAATTATTGTTTACACCACTTATACTGGGACAATTATAATCACTGCAAAAATTAACCATACTGATACTTTAATTGTTGCTTGAATTGTAGGTACCTTTAGTCTATAAAAAAAAGTAATTTATTATTATAAATTATACAACTAACCACAAACAAGATTCGAGAAACAGTTGTCGATTACAACCCGCCAGACGGTAAGCAATGCAAAATGAATACGATGGTGTATTATCAATAAAGACAGAGATAGAAATACCTAAAGTATATGCTATCTCTTTCTAACGCACTCACTCGGTTTTATTTAGATATTTAGTCATACGACTGTGGGCGTTCAAGTTATTATTATATAGTTCAATGTCTATAAATTACTAAACTTTTTTCTCGTTAATAGAATTTACCATAAGAATATATCATTCAGCCGACCAAAACTCGTCTTGTTCGGGCACCCCCACCTTTAAACGCCTGTTGGCTGTTGGTTTTGGGTGTCACAAAAATGCAAGCTGGCGATACCGATGCTGTCGATCAACGTCGGTTGCTGTCTTGATTTTGACTGTTAGCCAATCATCATAGAACGTAAAGCGATCGCCTGGGGGGTTGTGCAGCTACGGTGGCTATGCAGTCTTCATAAGTGAAAGTGGTTTATTCTTAAAGTGAACACCGTCACACTGAACGTAGCACCTATATATGCACAATTAAATTTCCGTATTCCAAAGTAGTCTCGTGACTTGATGAGCCATGATTCATGAACAATACTGTGGCGACGTAAACAACGCACCACGAATCGTCCAAGTTGTTTACAATATTGTCAGTGAATAATGGGAAATCCCATGTTCTAGAATATACGATAATTATCTCGTGAAGGTAATTTCGAAAAAGTTCTAGAACAATCGACGCATATATACAGGGTGATTCTTTTATCAAACAACACTCATTATTTCAAAAAATTTGAAAACCATCTTGTTCTAGAACTATATATTTTTTAAATATTTTCACCCTTATATTTATCAGGTTAACCATTATCAACTTTTGATTTTCAAATGACAACCTATACTTAAAATTTGATAAACTAAAAGGCTATTTTTTCAATGAATTTTCACGTTTAAATTTTCATTTTTCGTCAATTCGTTTACAAGATATAGCCTCCCAAAGTTGGGTGGTTTTGGGTGGTGTTTGTGTGTTATAGGTGTATGTTAGGTGGTATTTACACACAAATACCATATAAGTGTTGTTTGATAAAAGAATCACCCTGTATATACCGAGTACCGACTGGTCAGACGCTCAGTCAGTCAGTCCGAGAGTACACTCCGCGGCACACCGTGAATTACGCGCTGCCACATTCTCCGCGATATATTCCGCGTTTTCTCCGTCATTGTAACATATATTGATATTTGTTTTTCACATTTATATTCACAAATATTTATGTAATATAGTGTTTATTTTTAATTTAATTAAATTGTGAGTGATTTTTATTGCCTAAAACCCACAATACAACAAAAAAAAAATCGTATTATAGAGATACTTATTAAATATAATCAAATAAAAGTATGGTTCTAATTAGGTTTGATGCTCAAAAATATTTCGTATGTAAGTTAGGTATTTGGAACATGTACCTACATGGCATTTTACCATAGTATGAAAAAATATAATATAAAACTGCATTTGCGCATCGGTCGCATTCACTATTTCAGCTCATGACGCATTAAATTTGTCATAATGATAAATGAGTATAAGATCTATGATAAATAATAAACTAAATTTCTAACTTGTAAATTATTATGATAATAGGTGAAGCAATATTCACTATTTTTGTAGAAATTATGTTCTTAATCACAGAACATTTTAGCAATATTGAGCGCTATTGTTTATAGTTATTATAAATAGGTAATATATATATATATATTAATAAACAAATTAGTTAATTTATAATACCCGAATTTCTTTAAAATCTTTAAATATCGAGTTTATTAAATGTTAATAGTAAGCTGTTAGCAGTTAATAATTAAATTAATCACTTTATTATCAATATAAAATCTGCGTGTCAAATAACTTATTCATTATTCTATAATCTCTACGTGGCAGCCGTGGTAGTAGATATGAAACCCTGGCACTGATAATATTTATACTCCACCCATCGATTGTCAGCGCTCATATTTTTACGTGAGCTCGATTAGAAAAGTTATGTATAAATAGTAATATATTTTACTTGTCTATGATTGTAATTTACTATAATATTGTCAGACATGACAGAAGGCCACGCTCACTAAGTTGGCCGGTAGGTACCTTATTCAATTTACACGTCCGTTTTTTCATGTGTTAGTGCGTATAGTTAAGGAGCAGTACAATATAATTACAACATTTTTATTTCAGCTCACTCTCTAATTGTTATATTATTTTAAATTACATTCATATTATATAAACCCAATCGAAATCGACTATAGTATATACCTTTATACCGATTTCCGGTATTTGTGTCTATAGTAACAGTAGGAACGAATCCATCGTGATTCAATACCGTAAGTACTAATATACATAAAACATACATTATGCACATTATACACCCATTATTTTATTAATATGATAAATATAGGTACCTGTTATGTATTATTAATATAAATAATAACGTATTATATAGACATTTATAATTGTTAACAGTATAAATCGTAATGACGTACAATATATTTCTACTCGCTAATAACCGATGGACAGTCCCCACCGATCGTAATATGATACTTATGATTATTGTTAGTATAAACAGTATAGGTGTAATATCATATAATATAAATGCTGAATATGCAACAGTACCTATTTAAATTGAAGGTAAGGCTAACTAGGCCCGGGCTAACCAGTGCAGTTTATTTCACCTTTTGCCTTTTAGCTTCTGGCATGAATATGAGAATATTGATTAGTAGGGAAAACTGCTTTAAATTAACCTTCTTCTAAAAGTTAGTATATATTATTATATTGTGTAAATTTCGACAAATAAAAATTTAAAATTATACAATCTACAATAAAACCGATAAGATAGGCACATAAAATAACTTACGGAAATTTATTTTATATACCTACCTCTATAGGTATTATGTTCTTTGGTATTGTATAATTATAGTTAGTAGTTACAATAGGCACATACTGATATGATAACATATTATACTTTATTGTTTAATCAGATATAATACGTGTTATGACATGCTTTATAGATAATATTATAAGAATGGATAAGCCATGTTAACATAGGCGCCCGCAGAAATTTTTCTAGGGGGGGGGGGCAATGTTAGGATTTGAAGATAAATATTAGAATTTTACTAAGTGTTTTAAAATAATAACCTTTTTTATTATACTCGTATACAATATTGAATATATTATATTTTATTATATTTTATTATGTATTACAACTTATTTTATACTTTAAATTTGTTGTATAGTAATATAGTAATTTATCTTAACACATTCAATTTAAAAAAATATTTTGAAAAAGCCAGGGGGGCAAATGCCCCAGCTCACCCCCCCTGCGGGCGCCTATGCATGTTAATGCACAGTGATCAGCGGTCTCTGATACGTATTTGAAAGAGAAAGACTCTCACTTGGTCGTATGTTATGCTATGCAGTATAGATTATGTATACCTATACCATACTTTGTGTTGTATTATAGTCTTAGGCTCTTAAATAATAGTTAAATGAATGGCCGTGTGATAAGATTATTGTATAACCTTTCCATTCTCATATTATCCATAACATAATAACTATATATGAATTTTATCCATTGACATATTAATAATAATATGCCTATGGTTTTATCCGGTGGCTTACCTCCAATCTCCATGATCGGTTACGTTTATAATTAATATTCGCTATCATGTAACTAATTGTAACATGTATGCATGGTTATAGATTTATGGTGTAATATACTCAATATGAAGTCTTATGCCGGGTTGCACACTTGCGTTAATTATTTAACGAACCAATAATGAGCTAATGCCGGTCTAATGGACTATTAAATAAGATTTATAATGGTCCATGATTGATCTATTTAATTTTTATATTTAATAAATTATTATGCGATACGGAATTAGAGTGTATTAAGTGTAAAAATAAAGAAAAACTAGGTATTTTAAAATTGAAAAATATTATTATTTAACGAATATTAAAAACAATAAAAACTATTTCACTAGATTGTAGTGCATGATCGTATAATCCAGTGGACGGTGGGCGGTGTAGTATATATTATATATATGTATATTTTTAATTATTATTCTTTTAAACAGCATTTCATKTATACTATTTTTATTTTTTTTTTAATGAAGTTGGGGGGGTTAAAAAATATTTTGCTCCTTAGGGCGGTGTCAGTTTGAAAAACGTTGAAAAACACTGGTTTAATCAATAGAAAAAAAATTTAAACAATAAAATGGTATGTTATAACACAATAATAGTTTACTCTAATTCAACGTTTTGTCGTTTATTCTAGAAAATACTTTTTTCAAAAATTCGTRTCTTGTGTATAATTATTCATCCATCTTCTTTCATTTATCGTTGTTCCTTAATAAATTTGTATTTTTKCGTTGTTTGTTGCTTTAGTTTTTTGGTGTATTAGTTGTTCTTATGTATTACACCTTTTTCTGAACCGATATTAAATATCTATACTAAATTACTAGATTTAATACTAAATTTTAGTATGTTGCGTTCTAATTTATAAATACACTTCACTTACCTTACCAATTATTTCTTTAAGCTTTGTAATGATATGCTCACATGGTCACATGACACATATCATCATGTTTATAAGTAGTTTAAATATTATAAAATAAATAACGGTCTAGTTTTCGCACGCAGATAACCGTTAAAATCCAATAAATTTTGTTAATCACTGATGAAAGGAACGATTTGCATTGTTTGGTCACGTAATAGGGACACGTAGTAGTGACAATGTRGCGCTATTATCAGCCATTATCGGATCGATGGTCGCGAGCGACAACTGACTTTTTCCATTTTTAACGAAAAATTATCAGTGTTGTATTTATTTCGATTCGAGTGTTTAAACCTTTTTTTAACCTTATTAAGTCATCTGCCTACATCAAATACAGCTGCGAATAAGGTAAGGTGCATGAGCATCTATATTAATTTTTATAATTGATTTATAAATATTTTATTACTGCGATGTATTTGATCATATTCTTGAATTACGACCTCKAGGGCCCTCAGATGATCAGGAGGAAGGTAATAGTGCAAATTTAGATATTTTAATACTTATATCAGGTGTAATAATATTCTTCAGCTCTTATAAGAGTAGAGAATGACACAGAACCTATAATATTAACTCACCCTAATTCATAAATTAATATTTTTAATATAACTATTGGCAAGAGTTGTATTAATTTATTATTATAATAAATTATATTAATTTTCTATTTTTGGGTTATTACAGCTTTATAAACATTTGATGTTTTTTTCTTCTGAGAATGTCGATGACATATTTGCCCTTGATCAAAAGGCTTAAAAATGTAATCAGTTACATTTCTCATAAGTTGTTACTATAACTATATAATAAAAATCAAAGATTTTTTTTAAATTTGTCAAAATCACGGAAATCCGCAAATATTTTTTAGTTAAAAAATTAATTGAGATTTAATGTATATTAATTGTGGTAGGGGGATATACGGTACACAATACCCAAACACTATGTATTCAAATTTTCTAATACCCTCAATTATAAAATCCTGAAGACGTAACTGAATGACCCTGTGTATAAGCTATAAATGAATTGGGTAAATATTTTAGTAGAATACAAACTATGTTATTATTTACCATAGATTACATTTGTCAACTTACACTATGGCAATAAAATGGGGAATACTAAGTGCTTCCAAAATCTCCCACGATTTTGTTGTAGCTTTAGAAACATTGTCTGCTGAAGATCATAAAGTAGTGGCGGTTGCTGCAAAAGATATATCCAGGGCCAAAGATTTCGCAGATGAGTTTGGTATCTCTACTTATTATGGTTCTTACGAGGAGCTTGGCAATGATTCCAATGTTGGTACGTTGTTTATTTTATAATAAGGTATATAACTTCAATGTATATTTTTTAAAGAAGCTATAATTTTATATTAGTATACAGCAGGGGCGTCATTTCAACTTTTTTATTGTTGGTGCCAAAATGTTTGCAGGCCATTCAAATCATTACCAGGCCACATGGAGATTTTTTTTTGGGTGGATAATTCCCCCTCCCCCGGGTTTAAGTGGTGACAAAAACTTTATTTAATATGTCACCTATATTAGTATGAAAACATCGCAATATTATTATTATTTTTGAAGAACTATGTGTAGGTACTTTTAATGAGTTTATATTATATTGTAGATGCTAGTTGTATTTGCTAAGTAAATTTATGGGAATAAAGCACCTGAATAGTACTTAATCGAACCTAACCTATACATTTTTCTCYCTGCACACTCAAAATAAATAAATGGCACAAAAAAAAAAATTTATAATACATTAATATATAACAATAATTGGGTATATCGGCGCTTATATTTATTGTTGGCATGACAAAGAAGGCGTTTATAAAAAATGTTGGTGCAAATGTACACCCTGCACCTTCCCCCACCCCAAATGACGCCCATGGTATACAGTAATTTTAATCGGAATTATTTATTAATATTTTGGATTTTTTGTGCTAAGTAAGTTATGGTTATAGGTAATTAGGCAAAATAATATTTTTATCATCATGAAATATTGTACATCCTTTAAAAAATATTCATGGCTTTTAAAATATTATTTTAAAAGTTACACTGATTTTATTTTACATGTTTTAGTATTTACCATTATAAAACGTATATTAGTAGATTGTTGATGTTTCCCGTCATTTGTCTGCGATATTTTTCTAAGCACCTACTATAAATTAGAATTTTATATTCCTATATCTATTAATGATAGTAAAATTTCATAATTTTGGTTGTTGTCAACCACAATTAGTGAGATTAGCATTTTTTTAGAATTCAAATTTTAAAGAATTTAAAATATAAAACGACGAGACTATATTATTATACAATGTTCGTCATCAAATTGTGTTTGCTTTTGCTTACATTATGATACATGGTTGAAATTAATTCAAATTTAAATACCTATGTACATAATATTTTAAATTTAGGTTCATATAGCATAAATATATATATATATATATATACACATTCGTGATATTTTATGTATAAAATGACAAACATAAGTTTAAAAAAAAAACAACGATCCGTGCGCTATCGGTAAAAACAAACTTTATCGATTTGTATGTAGTACAAAAATATATTATACCTACAAAACATGTATACTGTATAAGTAGTATAACTTATTATAACACTTACAAGGTACCTATAATATTTAATTAATATTTAACAATTATGAAGACAATAAATGCGGATGTCTTTTTTAAACACATAATAATTAATAAGTAATAACTATTTCGTTTTATGAACAATACAAAAAATAGACGTTGTTTATATCGGTGCTCTTAATCATCAGCACTATTCATTGACCAAATTAATGCTCGAAAGTTGTAAGCCCGTGTTATGTGAAAAACCATTTTGTATAAACGCCAAAMAACTCGATGAATTAATAAAGGTAAATAATTGTGTGAYCTACTTAAACAGTTTAAAGATAATATAGGAAATATTGGGTTTTTTGTGTAGCTATCAAAAGCTAAACAGTTATTTCTAATGGAAGCTATGTGGAGTCGTTTTACACCAGCCTATCAAAAAGTAGTCGAAGAAGTGCAAAACGGAACTATCGGTACCGTCTTACACGTGCAGGCCAACTTTGGTAGACAAATGTCGAACATCGAAAGAATTTGGTAAAGTAAATTACACATCCTATTTATTTTAAATAATTTTGCATTACTTACATTTAAGATAATAATACGTAATATGTCCTAGATATCCGATAAAGTGGCTAAATAATTTATCTCTATAATACCTATTCAGAATTGGTAGTACCTCGAATACAGAATTTTGAAAATACTTTTTTTTATTATTAATAAAAAAAAAAACAATTATATTTACAATCTGTATTCAATTGATACAATAAGTAAATTTTAGAATATTATATAAAAGGCATGTATACGTGATAAAAGGGGGCATCAATGATGACACTACTAATACAATACTTCAATAATTTATTTTTTATTTTTGTTTTAATCAATTATTAATTAATTAATTTTTTTTTTTATTTAGCTGATTACATAAGTAAATCACATGACCAGTTACGTTTTAGGTGACAAAGAGGAATTTTGGAAATGGTAGCAGAGAAAAGATTCTCTTAAGTATTATTTTTTCCAGGATTTTAAAAAAAGTAGGCTAGACTGATGTTTCTGAATGAAAAAGTAATGTCCAGAGGTTTTCCAGGCTTGTGAATAAGTATTATAAAGGAATGTTTCCAAGAGTCAGGGAAATAGGATAGTCTGCAGAGTATGGAGTTGTATAGCTGTGTTTTAGAACCAATATAGCTTTTTTGGGTAGGTGTTTAATGATTGATTTAGTTATAACATTATAGGATCTTGTCTTGGAGATTTGTTTGTGGGTAGATTTTTAATTAAATATTGGATTTCAGAGGGAGTGGTGTGTTTGGCTGCACACATAGAAATGTGTAATTGATTCAACTCTCAAAAGTGTCAATGGTAAACACTTGGGGAGAGTATTGGATAGTGCTGTTAAAATGCAATTTACATGATCTAAAAATATGTCTTCATGCAGAGTTAGGAAAAAATCTGCTTTCGAGATCGGAGGCAACTTAGTTGGCTTTGTCAAGGTTCGAAATAGCCAGGGAGTTATATGGGTTACGTAAAGTGGGTATTTTGTTTTTTTTGTTTAGTTATGATTTTTGTTGCTTTCCAGAGTGCGTTAGTTGAATTATTAATAGAATTCAAATAGTGTTGGTAATTATTTGTATTGTATTTTTGGAGAGTATTTGAAAGTACTTAAAATAATTTTATAGTTATAAAATAAAATGTATTATTTTTATACTGGTACGTATTTATGTTGTAAATCATAAATTATTACAGTAAAGTATGTATGTAAAATTGTAAATTCATTGTATTTTAACATAGGTATGCTATTATTTCCTATTTTCCCAAAGACAAACATCATTTTTTAATATCTAAAACAAAAAAATATTTTTAAGAAGTTTTCGAGTACATTCACCTTAGGGCGACAATCCCTAACATGGATAAAAATTAAGATTAAATATTTATTTTTGTCCCACCCACCTAAAATGTTCATTATGATTAGATAAGTTTTATTTCATTTGGTGAATATTTAGAGATCGCACAACACATTTGTTTTTCCGAAGTTATTAATAACATAGATATCACACTTCTATCACAACTTAATAATATAATTAATCAGTATTCAGAAACATTTTCAAGGGAATATATTTTTGTCTGAATTCTTGAAGTAAAAAGAAATACAAAAATACCTATAGTACTATGTTTACATGTAATATTATATTGTATATTTTAGGAAAAAAGAAGTGGGAGGAGGCTCAATACTTGATATTGGTGTTTATACACTGCATTTAATTGATACAATACTCGGGCCCGGCAAGCCCGTATTTATAGAAAGTAAAGGAACGTTAAATTGTCACGGTACAGATGAAAATATGTCTGCTATCCTCGAGTATCCCGAAGGAAAAATAGCCGTGGTCTCGGTGCACACTAAAGTGGAAATGGACTGTTCAGCTTTCATACATGGAACTAAGGGCACAATCAAGGTACGTAATATAGTAATACCTGCCAAACTCAATCGATATAATCAGATTAAAAAAAAAAAAAAAACACTTTATGTACAATAATATATAATAACATGTAACTTATAATTTATAATTATTATTAAAAGTATTTACTAAGCATATTAGCCATTAGGTATATAGGGACTTTCTATAATAAGAGTCTTAATTTAAATTGATCACACTAAATAATAACTACTACTTACATACATAGGCTATGTAATAGTAACGATTTTGTACTTGGAAAATTCAAAATAGAACAAATAAAATCATGCTAAGTTTAAAGTTATATATCATTAGAGTAGTAATAGTAAACATTTTAAAAATCCAATGAAAAAATATTTCTATCCTACATTTAATGTAGGCACTTTAGTTATATAAAAATAATTATGCAACATTTTTTTTTTTTTTTTAGAACCTTTATAGTGGCTTTAGTTAGTAACTATATGCAACATTTATTTATGTTATTATTTCTGTATATGTGTACTATAAACTAAAATACTCCCCATGACTGAATACTTCAATTAAATTTTCATAAAATTTTAGCATGCCCTTAATATTATTTTTGGATTAGCACACATAAAAAYAACGTATAGTACTATACCTATTTAATTTATGATGTTTAAAAAATTAGATTCATGAACCATTTCACGCTTCAAAACAAGTAACAGTTAACACAACCAATAATACTTCAAATTATACATTTGTACAACCAGATACCAGAAAACCCACACTATTTCCAAGTAGTGTTCAGTTACGTTATGAAATAGATCATGTCAGATATTGTTTAAAGAAAGGTTAGAGTATTTTTAGTTTATACATTCTAACCAGTAACCCATCAAGTTTGTTGATTCTATAAAAATGTCTAACAATTTGCCGTTTTTATTTATTTTTATTAGGTTTTACCGAATCGCCAGTTGTTTCTCTAAATAATAGTTATACCGTGCAAGAAATGATGGATCGACTGAGAAATCAAATTGGTGTATACTTTGAAGATTATGATACTTCTTCGTGAATTGTTAAAATACATATAAATTACCTATAATATTTTAATATTTATTTAGGTACATGGTCAATCGTACATACCTACTATTTTTTTTTATATCCAGTGATAACCAACTGACAACTGTTGGATATCACACGATTCTGCACAATTACCGGGAGTTACCCGTTTCCACAAAAATGAAAAAAGTACGATTCCCGTTTTTGCCAAAAGACGTCACAAAAAAGTTTGGAAACCAATTATGTAATTTTTATATGACCTATACTTACGAATGTTATTTTTTTAACCGATTTTAATTTGAAATATCGAAATATTTAAATGTAATAGATATGTGATATTATGCTATTGTATAATATTTAAAAACTCTAAATTAATTATGCCAATATTCGACTAATGTATTATTATTATCTACTTGTATTATAATTTATAATGATAAGAATATGTAACATTTGTACATTGTACATTGTACATGGTTTCTAGATAATGATTGGCAGAAACATCTTTTAACAAAAATAAATTTTAGCGGAAACTGGAATCATGTTTTTTTCGTTTTGCCCATATTTGCCCATATTTGCAGAAAAGGCTATGCATAAATCAGGCAACCAGTTTTTTGGCCGAACGGGCTACGCCCAATATACTTTTTGATCTACCTGATTCCACACATTTTCTTTTTAAGAAGATTTTTTTATTTAATCAGAATGTAACACAATTCTTCATAAAAATTTTTGTGATGACGTTGCCAGTTATGGGGGAAAAAAAATAATATTAAATAAAACAAATAATTTAAAGTATATAGAAAAATGTTTTTCAGTTTTCCCCTTATTACATGATACATTTATGATAAACGTGAATATAGTAGTTCGATTTTTATGCATAAATATTTAAAATAGGTTTAAATCATTTTTATATCATTTTAATTTTCAAACTGTACCTATTGTTAAAGTAAAATTAATATAATAAAAATATTCAAGTTGATCAAAATAAATAATTAAAATAAGTAGTTTATTACAATTTTCGCCTTGATTTTGAGTACTTACTTGTGTTTATTGAATGATATCAATTTAATTGGATTTATACTAATTAGTTATTGACTTATTGTATATGCATTTATCATAAATATCATAAAAAAGAACATATAGAATTCACCATAAATCATTTATGGTGAATTCCATATTATGTTTTTTTCCACGTTCAATATTTTCTGATCATACAAAGTAATTAATCTGATTTTAGTTTTGATTTCCGGCGGAAATTCTATTCTATTCTATTTACTTATAAATATATGGCTAGTGAGTAGTGGTGAGGGTGTACAATTCGCCGTGATATGTACAATGAAGAACCATTAGTTGTACTTGTACTATAAAAACATAAGTAACTATTTTAATTATTTATGTACACACAAAGAAACATTAGTCTTGATGTAACTTAAAACAAGTTGTTGAAAAAATTAATTAATTTTACCTTAAATCATTGATGGGTTTTCTGTCCACAATTCTATAGTAATGGAAATAAGGCATTTATTTTCAATGTAATATAATAAAATAAAATCGATGAACAAAAATATCATCGTTGGGGAAAATACTAATAAGTTCAGAGAATGCTTCATTTACTTTATGAGTTATGAAATGCAAGGAAAGGAAAAGCGAAAAATTGCTTCGGCCATTTTCCGAGTTCATAATTTGAACTATACAATATGCTTTAATATTTTATATAACTAGATTCGTTTTGAATCTAAAAATATATTTATAAAATGATAAAATAAATATAAATATACATTAATATTGTTGCTAACTTTACGACACCAAGATTTTTTCCATTATGAAATCCTGCGCATGGGCCTGCAGATTGTAATTGCCAGTAACCTTCGCGAAAGCGTACTCAACAACTTCCCAAAGTTTCATCACGATTGGAATTGGACATATTATATTGGTGTTTATATTTATCTATAAAAAATTACAAAGCTCATCATGAAATCTTATCATATACGTGTATGATTACTATGGTCATGGTGTATAATATTTTTTCCTCTGATTTTTTTCGTAATAATTTAGAAACTTTTCTTGGGGTGCTTAGACCCAGCCACGAAAGTTTCATTGCAATAGAACGAACGGCTTAGGAAAGGATAAGTTACTTGCAGACAGACATTCATTTTAATAGGTATATATTTTTATCATTCATTTTTACTGCGTAATATATTTAGATATTATAGTAATAAAGATAATCGGTCTTCTTAGCGCTCACAGCGGACAATACAATGAACTAAATGGCTTCAAAGTTCAAAACTACTATGACTCTTTCGGCGTAGGTCGTCGAGTTTCGACTCTCGAGTGACTACACCATAGAGGCATAGATTAATAGACTTTATTGAATCATCTACGCCGTGCTTGGATCACGGAATAGATTGTTGTTTAGTTGTTATTAATCTATAACTGCTATAATAAATTAAAATATTTATTTTCTAGATTTTACCCAGTACTAAATTGATTGGTGACTAACCACGTCCATGTTATCACAGAACGATATTATTATAATATATTATCTTAGTCCGTGGTTCACGATGACACCAAAGTGTATTGATAAATGATAACGTGTACATTAATTGTTGACGTTAATGTTATAAATTATAATGTTATTATTAAAATATTAATCCAGTAACCCACTAAAGTATAATGTTAATTTTTATAAATGCTTGTAGTGCAGTGGAGTAGTACACTATTGTACCAGTAATGTCAAATTAAAACGAACGTTGGTTATAAATTGCAAGTGGGATCTATGTGATTGCGAAAGCGCGTATTTTGTTCATCCTAGTGCAATAACCATGTATTTTCCGATAGGCTGGCCAAAAGTTTTGGCTTCAGCTCACGCTGCTGGCACCCTTGTCCAGGTGATTTGCAACAGAGACAAAATTCTATTCGCTATATTGTCTATTGAGCGATTGGAAATTTGGTTTTGCAAGGTGAGTTGTGGGCATCCTCAAGTAATGTTAATGCACATTGCTGTCTATCTTAAGTTATACCTCTTCTGTGCTGATTTGACAGCTTATAAATTTTCTAACATTCAAAATTTCTCCCGATTTAATATAGGATACTAGTACTAGTTTAAAAAACTCCAATATCTGCCTAAAAAATCCACTCAATTGTAAGATTTTATTGACGAAACATTAACCATTTTAAATTTAGTTCAAATAATGTGTGCATTGTTTCTATAAAACAATGTGTTTGTTTAAAACAGCTCAATATGAATATTAAGCTTTGTAAGTTAAACATTTTTATTATGATTAAATAAATAGTCTCGTTTAGTATCACCTAATAAATAGGTCAATAGTTTTCAAATACCTAATTATTATTGATAGGTTTTCAAACTTATCCTATTACTAAAAAAATAATGATTAATTATTATTTATTCATGTGGATCAATTAAAATATAATACATTTCTCATTATATGAAATTATAATTTATCTTAAAAAAATATATATATGTACTATATTAAGAAAATTATATTAATAATAAGGCTGATAAATCTTAAGGTAGGTATTTATCTTAAACATGAGATAAAACCCTTCCTTAGACTCTAAATCTGCGATTTAAATGACTGGCCTTGTTAGTTATAAAATATAGAAATATTCAAATTGATTCACTGAGCATCATATTCGCCCCCATTTTTTCCTTTAATTAAGGTTAGGTTAGGTTAGGTTAGCCAAACCTAACCTATAAAAATATAAATTATAATTTAAAATATAGCAATATATATATATATATATATATTTTAATAGGATTTTCATTTTTCTATTTTTCGTATTATAGCGCTTATTTAAAGATTTTTTGGTCATATTATTGTATATGTTTCAGTTATTTTTAGTACTTTAAAATCCGATCCCTGATTATGATAATAATCCTTAGAAATTTTTTCTTTAAATATAAAATATATGTAATATTGAATTAGTATTTATTGTACAATTGGCCATTTTTACAAATTATTAGTAAAAACTACAATTTTTCAATCACCATACACTTATGTATAGTTTCCAAACTCATTATCATGGATTAATTATTATTTCAAGCCTTATTATTATAGTTGTTTCCTCTTTATTAAGTTTAGAAAATAATTATAATTTAACCCAATATCTTTTATAGCCATGTGTGAAAATCACTTCATACACAAGATCTCCACAGAGTCTTGATGAAATTGGTTTTAATCGACGTGTAGAATGGAGGCCAGATTCCAGTATGTTGGTCATAGTGGTTAGTATTTATTTTTTTATGTTCTATAAATATTTAATAACTACTAGCTAAAATATATCTTTATTTAACTGTTTTGTAGACTACTAAAGGTTATTTAATATTTTACAATTTGAGTATTATTGGTGATCCTGGAAGCTTGTATCACTTAGAAGATTCCCATATATCTAGTCTAAAAAGAGAAAATGATGAGCTATTTGTGAAAGAGACCATACCATCTTTACATATTAAACAAGTAATATACCTAATATTTTAAAATTATTTACATAATTTATGTAAGTGACATTTTGATTAATTTTGTTTAAATTGCTTAGGATAAAATAGTTTGTGTTGATGGTAGTGTTGAATGTATGGCTTGTATTCGCGATGAATTAATGGTGTCTACATGTAAAGGACATGTATTGCGATATCACTGGAATAGTTCCATCAATCGAGATTATTGTTTAGATCTTCGTAGAACACCATTTTCAATTGATCTACATGTTTCTAATGGTAAACTATTGTGATTTGTTACTAAATTTAAATATTTGTATGTAAATTTGTATTATTATTATTTGCGTTTCAATTCTATAGCTGTACCACTAACTAGCAAAGATACTTTTATTATTGATATGGAATACTCACCATTAGTTGGAGGTTTTGGAATTATTTTGAATGATGGTCGTGCAGCATTACTTACAGCATCATCTTTAAAGTTTGATCCTAATGTAAGGTATATTTGAAAAATAAAGTATAAGAACATTTAAAAATAACATCTTATTGCATTTTTATCAAAATAGCAAGTACAAGGTATTTGGGCTCCTAATATTGATACTGCTACTTGTACAAGTTTGAACCACAAGTATAGATTGATTGCGTACGGACTAAAAAAGTTAGTTATTGTAATAAATTTAATTTTAAAATAATTATTCAACGCTTGTATTTTGAAATTTTAGTTCCCAAGGTATTGTATTTGGTCTTGATGAACGCACCGGTGGCTTACAATTATCTCATAAACTTATGATTCCCAGCCAAGTATGGCCAGGCGGAGGATTAGGTTCTGTGAGGTGTACTCGATGGACGCCTGATGGCTGTGCCTTAGTAATGGCGTGGGAGAATGGTGGCTTCGCTGTATGGAGTACTTTTGGAGCTTTATTAGTTTGCTCATTGGCATGGAACTTTAGTGTAAACATCGATTTAAGCTCTAGAAATCCTCTCAATATTATTTCCATGGAATGGTCTATAGAAGGCTACCAACTATGGATGATTAATGGAGCCTCAAAAGATACACATGATGATACAGTATTACAAATGTCATTTTTAAAAAGTGCTCTAGCTGTCAATCCAACTATGGTAAGTTATTAATAAAATATTATGTTAATTAATTTCAGAATTACTATTTGATTTGAATATTGTTTTCTAATTAATTGTAAAATAATAGGTCATTCAAAATAAAAATATTTAATTACGAAAAGCATAATATGAATTTATGTATTTTAGAGCCATCGTCCGCATTTGTATCTCCAAGGTGAAGATAAATTATATTTGAATGTAACATCTGGTCTTACCAAAGTGTATAAAATGACTCAATCCAATAACAAGACTAAAGACCAATTAACTATCACCAGTGCTTTAGTTGAAAATAAACAATGGATCATTGTTTATGCACCTTCTCCATATTTAGGAACAAATTGGCCAATTAGAGTAAATTTAATAAATTTTTTTTAGATGTTTATTCTATATTTATTAACAATTCATTTTAATTCCAGACGTCTTGTATTGATGATGATGGCAAACATATAGTAATTGCTGGGCGTTGTGGTCTTGCTCATTATTCTTTAATTACCCACCGCTGGAAACTATTTGGCAATGAAATACAAGAAAAAGATATGATAGTAACTGGTGGAGTTTTATGGTGGCGATGCTATATCATATGTGGATGTTACAGTGTGCCTGTTGATGAACATCAAGTGCGGATATATAATGGAGATTCTAGATTATCTAATGATCATATGATTTCGTACCAATTAACTGGACAAGCTTTATTACTTGATTGTTTGGGAAGCCGATTAGCAGTATTTTGTTCTGATGGGATTGTCAATTTATTTAATATTGAAATATCACCTAATCACAATATGGGTAATTTTAAATGTATATTAAATTTTCAAGAAAATATTGGTGCATTTTTAGATTATTTTGTTTTTTCGAGCCGCTTACAACATTACAAAATTTATGTTCAGCTGAGCCAATCTTGTGTACTTAGCTTAGTTTTAGTATTGAAGTGAATTAGCATTTATATCACTCTCAAAGTTAAGAATATTTAATGTAATTGTATGTTAGCTTCTTATAATATTTCAATTAGTATTCAAGTTATGATTAAATCAAATATAACAATTTAAAAATACATGTATTGCAGAACAGATTAAATATTGTTAAAAAGTCAACATAAAAACAAAGAATAATTTAATTTCAAGTTTTAAAATAATCAGTCAATTCATTCTTATATTAAATAATAAAATCCAATTCTAGTAGGTACAAGATTGGTTCTGTTGAGTGGTAATTTGTTATATTGTGAGTGGGTCAAAAAGATAAAAACAAATTTAACTTGCATTAAAAGTTAGCCTACTATATTTTGTTATTTAAAATATCAAATATCCATATGCACGCTTGTAAGTTTTAAAACCTTATAGTGTGATCGTAGTGAACTTATATAATTTGATGATTAATCATATAATTTAATTTTAATTTTAGCAATATTAGACAGAGTACAAACTATTGATATGTCAGCTTTATGTATACATCCTACTTGTGTGGTTTCTGTTCTACTTACAACTCTTCGCATTGAACCAAAAATTAAAGGTTCTACTGTTAGAGATAATTTTTTACTTAATATTAATGGAAATTTGTTGTTAGTAAACCAGCAAAGTTGTGATGATCAGGTAATGTATTAATTAGTTTTATTATTTTAAACATTAAATTATAATTGAAATTGAATATTTTAATTTTTAATTATAACTGTTCTTCATATATTACAATTTGGTTAGTACCAGTTAATCATGTGATATATTATGATTTGTGCTCAAATGTTTATGTTTTAAAAAGTTGAAATATAATGCTAAAAATAATTTTCTCCAAATTAACCTACATTTATTCTCTTAAAAATGAGACAAACATTTATTTTTATTAATAAATTAATGAATATCAAAATATGCTTTACTGTGAAAATTAAAAAAAAAAAAACGTTGGCTAAATTGTATACAAAAAAAGTTGCAAATTACTATAAAGCATGAAAGAACTAATAATTATAAAAATATTAGACCATTTTATTTAAACCTAAAAAAAAAATTATTAGTTGAAACTACATGCATAAATGATTTGTTAGACCAATAAATAAATAATCATAAAAATATTGCTTTGATAAATAAATTTAAAACCCAAATATGCACATATACTTACATTGATGTTGTATTGATTTTATTTTTAACATAGAAAAACATAGGTAACTTAAGTATAAAAAATGTAGTGAGTTTTAGATACACTTCAACTTCCTAGGTTTAAACAAACATGTAATAACTGATAAATGATTTTTAAAATAGTGTTATATCTACATTCATCTTGACATTTAAAACCTTTCAATTTTTTGTTGTAAATCATCTGTCCCTTAAAAATCTAAAAATTCCAAAAGAATTTATGTTACACAAAAAATTAATTTTATTATTGTGTGTTAAGTGGATGTTGCTGATTTCCAATCCAAAATTTAAAAACCAAAGTCTAATACACCTTAAAAAAAGTATTTTCCATTAAAAAAAAAACAACCAAAATCAAATCATTCTATGAGGCGTTATAATCATTTCCTGTCAGATATTTTTGAACAAAAAACAGGCCATATGCTAGCCTCTTGAATCATCTTAATTTTCCACTCTGGAACAAAATCTGGATTTGAATAATGTACATTGCTTGATTTTTGTTTTAAAAATAATGTTTTATTAGATTAATTTATAAATCTTATAAATTGTGAATCTTTGAATATAATTTTTTTTACTTCTCAATAAATTTAATTTATCAGATTTTTTATTCATAACTTCATATCTATTAATATAACTTACATATATAATTTTATTTATCTCATTTATGGCATAAAATAATATTAATTAACACATTTTGTTGTCATGGAAATTGCGGGGTGGAAATCAAAAACATATTGCCAAAATTGAAAAATGCGAGTTAGATATTGATTATTAGGGAAAAGACATCGACAAATTGATTTGCGTCATCAGAATAGATAAAAACATACTGTTTCCCGGTTAAATCAGCATTTAAGTTTTAGAAGTTTAGGTATAGATTATACCCTAACCTAATGGTAGAGCCAGAGAAAATAAGAGAATAATAGTTACATAACAATAATAAATAGAAACGTCTGGAAATATTAAAATATTTTATTTTGGAAAAAGCATGTTTTGGTATACATTTTAATAGTTTTAATAATGAACTATTTCCATTAAATTTTCCAATACGTACTATTGTTATTACTTCAATGTTTTGGATTATTGTACATTTTGAAATGCCATTAAAATAGGAATTATACTCAATAAATGAATTTTTAAAAAACAAGGAATCTGTAATCCATTATACATTACATTTCTTTGGCTTCGGTTAAATTACATTTATAATAGAAAAAATGATACAGAAAATCAGTATTTTGACAATAGTACGGTTTGGATTTCCATCCCTTAATTTAAAAATGTATTAGGTATTAGGTTGTATACTTGTTTAATACTGTAAGACCTTAATGCTATATTTAACTGATGCCCAAAAACTAAAAATATTTATTTTTATGTATATAAGCAATATGTTAAAATATGTAAGTTAAAAACTAATAATATTTTAATTATGTTAATTTAGTCACAAGTTATTCCATCTCCTATTTTATTGGCGTCTTGTGTAGAGAATGCTTGGGTTTCAAGCCAATACCGCCGTGATAAGCCTCATCTGACTGAAGCGCTTTGGTTATTTTGTGGTGCTCATGGAATGAGAGTTTGGCTACCATTATTTCCAAAAAATGGGGATAAGTCACATACTTTTATGTCGAAAAGAATTATGTTGCCATTTCAACTTAAAATTTATCCATTAGGTATGATTTCCTCTTGAATTTATTAATTAATTAAGTATGAACTACTTTAGTAAATATTGTAACCATAAGCGTGCGTAGGTATTCTTGGCAGGGGAGGCAATACYTTAGCTAAGGAGGTCCAGACTCCAATCCCCCCACCCGATTTTCACCAATTGGTAGATATAATATAATATTTTGGTGTAGAGGAAAATCTCGCAGGTGAGGCAACCGCCTCCACTGCCTCCCCCGTGCGCACGCTTATGATTGTAACCTACTAGTATGATTTCAATACTTCTATAGTCTAGCAGTTTTACAAATTACAAATAACCATTTGCTTAAATAAAACATACACAGTTTAGGAGATAGGATTTTAAAGACATATATAATCATATAAAATGTATTTAAAAAGATTTGTTATTTCTATTATTATGTCAATCAAAAGTGATGAAAATAAAAATAAAATAATTTCATGTTTGATTGTTTCAGCTATACTTTTTGAAGATGCTATATTATTGGGTGCAGAAAATGATACATTATTATACACATCTGATACCACTAGTGTTTTTTCATTGCCATTTTGTCAAGTAGAAAGAACGGTATTTATCAAATATGAATTTTATACTTATTCAATTTTTATAATCAACTTAAATTTTACAGAGCCAAGTTTATTTACATCAAATATTAAGACAATTGATACGGCGTAACTTAGGTTTCCATGCTTGGGAAGTAGCTAGGTGCTGTACAAATTTACCATATTTTTCTCATTCTCTAGAATTATTGTTACATGAAGTATGTTTTATTTCACTTATTACTTGAACAATTTAATAATATTAATAATATTTTTAAGTAATAAATTATTTTACTTTTAAAGGTTTTAGAAGAAGAAGCTACTAGCAAGGAACCAATACCAGATGCTCAATTACCTAGTGTTATAGAATTTATACAAGAATTTCCAAATCTTTATTTAGAAACTGTTGTTCAGTGTGCTCGTAAAACTGAAATTGCATTATGGCCTTATTTATTTTCTGCTGCTGGTAAACCTAAAGATCTATTTCAAGAATGTCTAAAACGACAAAATTTAAATACTGCTGCTTCATATCTTATAATACTCCAGGTAAGTTCAAAAATTGGTTTATTTAATATTATTAGTTGTAACAAAAATACTAATCTTTCTATTTATATAACCTTGATTTGGTATATTGAACTGAAATTTAAATTATAATTAATTGTTATTTAATAATTGATATTTAATAGAAATTCAAATACACATGTCTTATATAAATTCATTTAATATAATAATTTAATATATATTGTTCTTTTAATTTTTTTTTTTAATTTACCTCAAGAATTTAGAATCATCTTCGGTCAGTTGTAAATATGCTACTTTGTTATTGGATTCAGCATTAGATAGTTGCCAATGGGATTTATCTAAAGACCTTGTAAGATTTTTGAAAGCAATTGGTAAGAAAATACTCAGACTTTTTTTACAGATTAATTATTTAACTCATATTGTGGTTTAGATCCAAATGATGCAGATTCTCCAAGAACATCATGCATTTTTCCGGCAAAATATAGTATGATAGGACAAGCAAGTACAGTGAACCCAAACGAGGAAGACTTATCATTTTTAATGGGAAACATTCAGGTACTTAAAGTGACAATAAACAAAATTAATTTGAATTATTAATTATTAAATAACAATTATTTTCAGGTAAGAGGAAGAAGTATTAGTACCAGTACTACACCTAAAATAGATATGAGTTCTACTTTTGTAAGAACTGATAGTAGAACAGAGCAAAATAGTTCACAAAGAAAAAGGTCTGTACTTTCAAATGGAAAATCAGAAAATGGGTTTGTGTTATTTTTGTCTATTTAATCATTTATATCAGGGGTCACCAATTAATATTTTTGAAGTGCCATTAAGAATCTTAAAATTGTTTACAGACCTTAAAAATTTCAAGTATCATTAAAAACTAATGAATTACAACACTAGAATTTATAATATTAACTTTTTTTTCTTGTTTGCGGGCAGGATAAAATTTGTGCGTGGGCTGCTATTTGGTGACCTCCTGGTTAATACTATAGTATATTTATATTATTTTTGTACAATTATGTAAATGCTTTTTAGAAAGGATACAGCTACTTGTAATTCCATTCTTGAAGAATTCTTCACTGACACAATTCTTCAAAAACATGCTGCTAAATTATTATCTAACTACAAGCTAAGAGCACTTGGATATTTTGCTGCTCGATTAGACTTTCATTTAGTTGAATGGTTAGCAAAAGAACGGAATGGAGCAGCTCGAATTGATAACTATATAGTGGCTTTGCGAAGTCTTTATACTGATTTTTCTATATCAAGACCACTAACTCCTATTCAGAAACGTTCTCCACCTCCATCGGGTATGTTGTTTAATATTGATAAACCTAAATGGGTAGATGGTGGTAGTGCTGTTGGAGATAGTGGTTATATGAGTTGTCAAGATGTTCCTCAAGTTTCTTCACAATATCCACAAGATGGATTCCTTACAGGGATTGGTTAGTAAAACATTTTTAAAAGATTTAATCTTTATTATTTGCCTTAACGTGATGGTTTTATTTAAAGATGAAGCTAGTACTATTAGTGAATCTGAAGATGCTCTGTTATGGAATGAAGAAAGAACACAGGCTAATATTGATAACTGGAATATTATTCCTAATGCACATATGTTAGAACAACTTTCCAGTGAACATTTATCACAAGACACTTCAAAAGCTGAAGTTCAACTTAGGTTATTACCAATAGTTTTAATTAATTTTATAAATATTATAATAAATACAATTTATTACAGATATTTGTTGCAATTATTATTTGAAGCTGGCTGTTTGGAGTGGAGTTTTATTGTATCAGTATTTCTTCGTGATGCTTTAGCTGTACAGAGACTTATATCTATCGCCAGGTCACCGGAACATAGTTATGATTCTGTATCTAGGTTGAAACAAGCATTTATTTTACTGTACCAATGGAGTTGCAATGAATGGTATTATATATTATTTATACACAATATACATAACATTTAACTAAAATCTTTTATCATTATTTAATATTTATGTATTTTATCTAACAACTTTTCTGAAAACTATGAAACAAATGTATTCAATATTAATAGATTCATTATAAAAATCAGTTTGTACTTTCTTACTTGAAACGTCTTATTTTTTATACCTTAAGTCGTATAGAAGAAGTAGTATTTTACAGGACAAAATCTACTAAACTGATTTGTTATTTCTTTTAAATACATAAAAGTACAACATTATTTTTATTTTTAGGATTAATTTATTTACCAAATTGTATTATTACTTTATTTGCAATATAGAGAGATGTTAAAAATGTATTCAAAGATCATGTTTAGCCCACAAACTATGTCTTGATTCATGGCCTAACTATTAAAAACATATTTTCAGGATAACAAACTAACCATTAATCAATATGTCAGAAATCTATTTATTAAATGCAATAAATCAAGTATTATTAACCAAGAAAAAGATAAGAATATAAGACTTATATAAAACAATTTTATACATTACCTATTTGGCCACCTATCTAATATTTGATATTATTTGAATAATTTTCTAAATTATTTAATTAGTGGATTTACTTTTTAACATAAATTTTCTGAAATATTGTATACTTGACACGTTGACTGCTCTGTGACCACTGGTTAGGTTAGGTTAGGTTAGGTTAGGTTAGGGAAAATGGCAATATACACCTGACAATTGTTACATTTATCTTATCACTAAAAATAAATTTAAAAACATTTTAAATAAATAATTATATATTCTGTTTTATTTAATTTTTAGCTTTGGTTATCGACCTTTCATGTCTACGTGTCAAGCACAATTAGGTGTATTAAATCGAATCATAACATCTAAACAGCCAGCACCTACTGTTACTCCACAAGCATCTTCTTCTTCACTGACCAGCGTTCTGACACAATCATCTAGATCACGATCAGCAAGTGAAGGTACTGGTGGTAGTCATACCACATCAGAAATGACTGATCATAGTATACAAACAGATTGTCATCCAGTTATTGCACTAGATTCTAGTTGTGATGAAATACAAGACAATACAACTAATTTTGATACAGCATCTGTAGTAAGCTTGCAATCACCTACTAGCTGTTTACTTTCTTGAGGTAAAATATTTATGATATATCTTGCATAACAGCTTAATAATTAATTTGATATTAAAAATTCAAAAAATTCAAAATATTAATAATTGGTATATACTAAATATTATTTAGACAGACTTAAGCAAATAAAGATACCCTTTTTATTATTTTATTGCTGTGTTTATACGTCCAATCATGGTTTGTAAGATAAGGTACATCTGACCAGTATTAACAACTTCTATAGTTGGATATTGAATATAATTATATATTATTTTGGCTTGAAGTCGTAGATCATATATTAGTATAATATGATTTGAGCATAATATAGTATTATTATAAATTATATATTTGGCTTTGTAACATCAACTTAAAACTATACAAGGTGATTCTTTTATCAAAGAACACTCATTATTTAAAAAAGTGTTGACTTATTTCAAAATATTTTTTTACATAGTTTCAAATTGTTAAAAAACCAATGTTTTTATCCTTATAATTTTTTTAATTTTTTACTTTTTTGAATGACAACATAAAGTAAAAAAAATTATAAGAATAAAAAATATTTTGAAAATAGTTAATACTTTTTTAAATAATGAGTGTTTTTTGATAAAAGAATCACCCTGTATACTTAAAAAATTAAAAAAATTATTTCAATAAATAAAAAATGTTGCATATAGGTATACATAACTTTCAATATTTATAAATAATTTACGACAATTTATTGAACAAGGGGATGTCATATTAAATTTTCTAACTATTTGTTCTAGAAAAACAATTTTTACCAACAAATGTATCAAAAAAACCTAAAAATTCAAAAATTTTACAATGCATAAAAATAGTAATATATTCAAAGTAACGTTTCTACTTTTTTTAAAAGTTTTTAAGGACTCTCAAAATGAGGTAGGGGTGTTGCTATACCTTATGCCAAAATAATTTATAGTTGTAGTCTATTTATTTTTATATGTAAGTTACTGAGTGGTCAATAATGTCACCAGTGTCTTCGGCTGTTCTACATCTTATAATGATTGTGGTCGTGTGTTTAGGCACATCATTGTTTTATTTGTTTATTATTCAAAGGCTTTCAATTAGTAGACTTTATAACTATGAATTTTATTTTTATAATTATGTTTTGTGATTTAACAATACATTTAAAAAATGTCCAATATAATTCCAAATTACTTGCACCGTGTAATATTGACTGATTTAAATTTAAAAAAAAACTTGTTTAAATGCCTAATGATTGAAATAGCCTAAAAATATAGTATAAATAATTTTTTTATCTTGTTATGTTATTATCTTAACATATTTGTGATATTTTGTTATTTATTATTAATTAATATATAATATTATGTGTCCATTATTGTTAGATGATCAAAAAATTATTTTTATCGAGCTTGTTTTGTTTTATATCAAGTTTTCGGAAAATATATTGTATACATATTCCCAATGCATTGATATATAATATATCACTGGTGACGCGGTAATACAACGTATCTCAATTTTGGCTATTGTTCAGGAGAGACTGACTACTGATTTATTCAAACACCAACCATGGTTACCAACATATTTTAATATTATCCAACACACACTTTATAATCATAGTATTTCACATTGAAAAGTCGTTACAACATAGAATTCTTTTAGATACATTTTGTTGATACGGCTTATTCAAATTTAAATATATACAGATACGTGGTATTTTGTGAAAACCTTTTTATTTTAAATTATTATTATTACTTTGTATAAAAACATTATTATAAACATTTAATAACAGCTATTAATAACAGTCTCATTTTTTATTAATACAATTAAAAATACTCTAAATTATACATTAATTAACTTTACTACTACTAATAATAAAATAAATATTAAAAGTAACGCCACTTGTGTTAATTATTAAAAATTGTGATAACAAATACACAAAACTTATACATTTTTCTTTCTTTGATTAAATAACTACTAATAACAAAATTAATATTAAAAATAACAGCCTTTTATATTATTAATTTAAATTTGTGATTACAAATAGGTACACAAGAAATATCATACTTTGATTTTCTTTCCTAGATGTAATGTAGTCTCATGTTTCAGTCCATCATAAAAGGTATGTGTATCACTTGGCAAATATGGTTTTAGACGTTGAAGATCATTTCATTTTGAGAGTGTCAACAATATTGAACTTGAGTATAGTTTTGATAATTTTAAACTCTAAGTACTTTTTGTGGAGTTTCCAAATAGGTACTCATTATCAAATGAAAGCTTGTAAAATATTTTTTCTGTAGTTGGATAATATTTCAGTGATCGAATAACTTTGACTTCCGGATCTCCTTTAAAGTGCGTACACACGATCGAACATTGTGCTATGTTCGAAGTGAGCTCATTCGAACTCGAACGAGCACACATAAGCATTTGGATAAATTCTGTTTGTTCGTGTGGACAAAAAACTTATGTGCTCACAGTATTCCTTTGAGCATGACAAAAATACTGACAGTGATCGGCTCGCCATGTAAGTCTATTCGACCTATTCGGCAAATGCTGACGAATACTTCCGAATGCTCGTGAACATTGTCTACATACTCACATGATGAGTTGCACACGCACGTGCATGAGCATTCACTAGTTTTGTTCGCTCGTGTGTATGCGCCTTTAGAATTACCAGGCTTAATGGACTTATATCTTTGTTTATATGATTTATAATTTAAAAAATCATTATAATTTAGTTGAGTTGCTTGACATGGCTTAGCTGGTGATTTTTGTGATTCTTCAGTCAACCTTCCAAATTTTTATGGTAAATATACTTCTTTGTCTTTCAAATGCCGTTCTATTGTAATATGCACACTATCACACTCCATCTGTGTGACGCCTTAGATAAGATATTTTTGTTTGATTTTGATTTTATGAATGATTGAATAATGTAATAATGCATTAGATAATATTAAATTTCTGTTTTGATATCCACATCCATCTGATGTAGAACAATTTTGTTGTTGCTGGTTTTAAAATACACAAATTAAAAATATGTTTTATAAGAATTGAGCAAAATATTGATGCTTCTGTCTCTTTGTCCCCTTCATGCCACCAATAGTTCATGGATTCTCGATTGGCTTAGTTGTATAATGTGAAATTATGTACTTTAAGTTTCATGTTATAATACAATGCACTAGCTTTGAAAATGGTACACAACTTGACAGCCATCATGTCCATAGTAAATACTGTTACACTTGTATCACTTTCTGCTATAGTTTTATCTAAATTTTTTTCTTCTTGTGCTCTTTTATTTTATTTATGTGTTGGCTCACATGTTTCTCCTTGAATGAAATACATAAATCACATTGATCATTTCTTGGCCCAAATATTGAAAACTATTTTATTTTCATAAACCAATTAAAAAAGTCTTGCTTAAAGATTTTTGTATCAGATTTTTACAATAATTCACATACAGTTCAAAATTTGACTTATACTTTCAAACGGTCGTTCCAGGTATAATCGGTCTTTGGTCTTTCTGCAGTAATAAGAAGGCATTTTTGGTAATTTTTCAAACCAAGTTGTTAGTATTTGTTTTCTTTCTTCTAAAGAACAATTATATTTTTTAATAAGATTGAGTTTGTTTTCATTTTCTCTAGTTAAAGAAGCTTGAGGTGTACACTTGTTGTTTTTAGAATTATGAAAACCATGTGAAGATTTCTTCAGCCAGTTATGGACTATAGACTCTTTTAGCCCTAATATATTAAGATACGTTTATTTTACATACTTGTTGTTCTAATTGTTTGAATCTTAGGTGATATTTGTTGAAAATATTTCTTCTAGATATTTCTTCAGTAGTAGACATTTTAGTTTGTGTTGTTATAACCGTATTTATCACAAATGTCTTTTTTTCGTACCAATTACTTTCCCAAAATGTATTAAATAAAGCAAGTCTCTAAACCTCATCAAACAAACTACAAAATCTTTAGATTGATTTTTTACAAACGATTGATGACAAGTTTCTGACATTTGTCTTTCCTGTTTTTGTACACCGTATGAAACTTGCATCATCTCATTTCTTTGGTAGCCTAAGTAGGTCTTACTGGACATTCTATTTCTTTTTGTTTGTTCTCTTTGCCATTCATTTCGTCTTTTTCTGTTTATACTTAAATCATGTTTTTCAACTAAAATAAAATACAAACATAATAATAAAAAAATATTATTAACTCAAAAATATTGCTGTTTTATTGTTAATATAAGTACCAATATCAGTTTGAAATGTATCAACATTTTCTGTCATTACTACTGTGTAATATAAAATTATTATTAATTAATTGCACAAATTTGCATGTTGAAATATCAATGTCAACTAAAAAAAATTTTAAAATATATAATACTGAAATAATATTATTATTCTGATAAAAACTACTCATCAAAATCACTATTATTATTATTAATTATAATATATTATATACTTACCAATTTCAGATGTGAATGTATCTACATTTCTAGTACTATTACTATTGGTAATCGCATTATACTTTGGTTCAATATTGTTAGATGGCTTATTAATTTTAGTAATCAATTCTTTAGAATCATTATTCAATTGCACAAATTGACATGATGAAAACTTATCATTGTCAACTAAAATAAAGTGATATTACAATATAAACATTGCCTTATTATTACCTAGCTAATAATATAATGAATTAGTATTTTTTTTAAATTCTCACTTGTATTAGATGCGAACGAATCAAAATGTCTTTTTTTTTTCTGTAATTTATTTTATTAGGAATATTTGCAAGGTTAGCTATTTTTTTACCTCGATTATGAGATGCCATTGTTTAATATATATTATTTTTAATAGTATCATATTAAATAATATAATTAATTATAGTGCATTAAGTTAAGATTATAAAAATTAAACATCAATATATTATTATAAAACAACATGGATACTTAATAAAAATTAACAACAATAATAAATCATATTAATTATAATGCTGAGTCAGGACGATATAATAATATTATCTAGTCCAAAACCAATAATATTATTTATGATAATAATATATTGCTATTAATAAACTATGAACTTGGAGATAAATGATAATTAGTGTCAAATTTCAGATACGATGTATGACAATAACGACGATAACACGCAAATTAACTTCTAAATTATTACTGTTGATATAATATGACCACAAAGAAGTTATAAAACTTTTGAAACCAAAATCTTATTTTCATAAAAAATCGAGATACTTGTATTACCGTGTCACCAAGATATATTTTGTCTTACATTGTTCGATTGTTCAAATTTTGACAATAACAATATATTAACATTGAACGATACTCATTATTTCATTAAGTATGCTACCTAAAATTTTCTTTTTTATATTAATAATTAGGTTTGACTGGTAATTATATTTTGATGGTTTAGTACCTACTATCTACTTTTTTTAAATTTTAGAACAATTTATAAATAATTCTGTAATTTTTGATTATTGTATGAATTGGTTTTGTTTGGGGTATTGTATATATGCTGGTTGTTTAAGTTTGAGAATAAAGTGAAAACAATTTTCAATAAAATAGAGACCATTTACTTGATCTAACAGAGATTATCCACAGAAAGTTCAGATTTATTTGTAGGTTTCTGCTACTATGGTTAATGTGCCAGGGCCCCTGATTTTTGTGGTGTTAAAATGGAAACATTTTAGAGTGGACATTTTTTTCTTATACAGAATCATAATAAAGAAATGCTTATCCATAGAATTAAAAGAAATTAAATCAGGTATAACTATTCACTTAGACAAGTAAAAGACTCATACATACATTCAACTGATGTGTTTCAGCATTTTGGCTGGACGTAAAGCTGACAAATATTTTTTTAAATAATTTTGAGTTTTTTACCAAGTAAAACTTAATTGTTTATTTAAATTAATTTATAAGCTAAGATAAAAAATGATTATTTGAATATTAAAACTGTAGGTAGCATACAAACKAGTACGCATTGCAAAAACATTCAGTGCTTTACTATTTATTTAAATATTAAGTTTAATAACAAATCATGAATTTCAGTAATACCATCGTAATTATAAATACAGCATTCCATAATTAACATTTTTGAATTATGTATTTAAAATTAAATTATATTATTTAAAAGTTGCTATTTATTCTAAAATTGTATAAAATATAATTGTCTTAGTTTATTAAATTAAATTTTTTTTTACATACAACTTTTTGTTCCACAATTATGAAATAATTGATGTTTTTGATTTTACTATATTACATTAATCTTCAAAATGTATTATATTATTTTTTGAAGCTTATTTAAGGATAAAAATTAAATCAATTAATATTTAATATTAATCAATTATAATCATATATTTTAATTTTGTACTTTATAATTATAACTCATGAGAACTTTGAGTAATTTAGTATTACTAGAAGATTAACTTATATTTAGCTATTGTGTAGAATAACTATAAGAAAAAGCATTTGGTAGTAGTCAACTACCTATTTTAATAGAAAAAAGAAAATTAGTATTATTAAACTCAAATTGTATAAAAACAAAGCAATTTTTTATGCCTTTTGTACAATCTGATTAAAAGCTCACATCGGCTGTGTTATTGATTAATACTAATAAGTAATAATACATTAGCTTCTTAAATATTTTGTACTTTAATTATGTCATATATTAGTTAGCTATAATCAAATATTTGTATGTGTCATACAAGGTGCTCAATACATTTTAGGGTTGTTAGTCACTTTAATCTTTTTTTGTCATTAATTTATTTAAAAATTAAAAAATTAATTGTTTTTTTGCGGCTGTACATATTTTCTATGAATAACTTTAATAAAAATAATCTATAAAGAAGTTGAATTAGTTTAAATATGGCTATTAAAATACATTTTAAGTTAATTTTAAATCGTATTATTTATTTTTTTCCATTAGTTATTATCGTTGTGGCATCCCTATTGTTATTATTTTATTAAATTATATAAGTTATTATTTATTTACAAAATATTGTATTTTTTTTTTTTACAACATTATTCATATTTATATTTAGTTATTATTTATTGTTGATTAATTATTATACTTAGATAATTGTTCTATAATCAAACAATATAATGAAAATTATAAATAATTGTCTTATTTATTTGATGTGTTCATTAATCATTTAGTAAAGTAAATACCTATTATGCTAATCTTCCATAATACTTTGTAGAACGTAACGCACTAGCGCGTACTAATGCCATATGCATAATTCCTCACTTATAATTTTTTAATTTGCAGATCATCGATAGACAACAAATATTATATTTTATACAATGATACAACATACATATATACAATATAATGTATGAAATAAAATAATAATATTATAAACCATACAATATGTTATGGTTTATAATACAAAGACATAGGTAGTAATTATTATTTATTATCATAGACACCTTCAGTAACGGATTGGACCACTGGGATATCTGAGAGCCTGTGGGCCGATTTTTGTATTGAACCTTTGGGCCGGTGAACTATGGTCACTAATTTTTGATAATATTTAACTGTGTATTTACGATTTTAATCTAATTTAAGTTATACTAATACATAGTATAATAGTAGTACATAGGAAGCACGTAGCTAGAATTACACAATTAGGGTCGCCTAATTAAATTATCTTTTGCATTTTTCTTAAGTGACACATATTTATCTCCCCCACTCACCATTAGGCATTAATTGAATTTATAATTATATTTATAAAACTACCTTCTCACTTAGACTTCATAGCTGTCTAGTCCTCACACATCCGATAGTTAAATACCTTGGCCTTACACTTGACAGAGGCTTGATCTCTTCGTTTTAAAAGAGAAGCATAAGACTCATACTCTATTTCTTAAGACCACTCTCCTTCTTTCTGACCTATCATTACAATATATCAAAATCATTCAATATATAACTCTTCCTCGACCAATATGGATGTATGGCATCTTAATCTGGGGCTCTACCAAAAATTTAAATTAAAGAATAATACAAGCTTTCCAAAACATCGGCCAACGTCTAATCACTAGTGCACCTGGTTTGTCTAAAATGAGTAATTAAATTCAGACCATAAATTACTCTCCACCAACAAAACTCCTGCTATCTACTATAAACGCTTTCACTCCAAACAACAGGATAATTCCCTCCAACTAATCAACGAATTACCTTCACTAACACTTCATCCCGGTAACCCAACCAGGCGCCTCAAAAAGAACTGGTGCTGCTACTTGATAACTGTTAGGTACTTATAATAATATTATGAGGTAGGTATCACAGTTGTGTAATTTCTTCCTCATGTGTATATTATTAAGTTGTCAACAATCTATAAATTTCCCTTTCCGTCGTCCCGTCTGTATAGAGGACATTTGATTTCCATAAGCTTTATAGACAAATATGATTATGGAACTGTGTTCACTTATAGTTTAGGTATTCTCCAGAGGACAAGTATATATTTCTTATTTGCCCGGTTGCTTCGTCTATTATTATCTTCTTTKGCTGAATTTTTAGTATTCATTAGTATTTTTTTTTTAAATATAAATATATGACAGAAAGGGTTAATATTACCTACTCATTGTACAAAATGTGTAGATTGTAATTTTTTTAAGTAAATTGAAATACTAATAATAAAAAATAAAGAAGTATATTTATTTTATTTCTTTGTTGAAACATATTTATTGTGTTTGGTATTATTTTAAGCTCTGACTTTAATAGTTCTGTATCAAATTGTTAATGCTCTGTTAAGGTTTTAGGTCATCATCATATAGCTCAGAAATTTGACATTTTTTGGAAGTAGATAAACAATTTTTTTTCATAATTAACTTATCTCATTCATATTCATTGAATTTAAGTTAATATTATTCGTTAACTTATTTTAAAATTAATTGATGTATTTGTATAGTAATTGAAAAAAAAAAACCGAACTTATTAATTTACAGACTTGTTCTTATAGTCTTATACACATATATGTTTTCTGCACTAAAATTTAGTTGCTCGTGTGAATATTTTATACTTTTATCTTGTTAAGCACGTCACAAAAAAACTTAGTATTTATAGTATAAAAATAGATTATTAAATAGATTACCTATACGTGCCTATACCCATATAAAAAATACAATATTATTCCTATTGCCTGCACAATTTTTTTTGAAATAGAAAACAAACTTAAACATGTTTACCACGATTAGGAAGTGAGTATGACGGATACGTCAACACGTGTTAATAATTATTAATATTATTAGTATTATTGTGTACTACCATAATATATTGTAATTATATATATTATAATCAATGGTACGACGTACTGTCAAGTGCATATGTATGTGGGTACTGCGTTACAGCGTATATACGTACCTACTACTGCACATTGCACAAGTGCAATTAGTACGAATTATGATGCGACATAGTATGTATAGCTTTTAGTATACATAATCCACAACAAAAATCTAACGGTAAAAAAAAGCCAAGTTCCAAACTCCCATAAATGTCGGCCTATCAAAATAGTGAAATCTACATTGTAGCCAAGTCTGCCATTTTTTAATTCATTGCCTCACTGGCCACTACACCCATACATTAAAAAGCTACAGTCTTCTTTTATTTGTATTGTTTAACACTTGCGGCCAGTTTCTGAATGAATGATTGGTCTGACTGAGACATAAACTAGACTTGGTCGTAATGTAGAATGTAGATACCACTACAGTAGTAGTATAGTATAGTAACTATGAATTATGATACGCTGTCTTTTTGGAGAAGATATCTAAACCTTTTTCTTTTTTTTTAGTTCTCTTCTCCCCATCACTCATGTAAGTCATAATAGTGAGTACATTCGATAAGGGGCGTAGCGTGAAAAGGTAAAAATAAGTTATTATTAATGTTATTATAACAATAAACAAATTAAAGTTAAAATTTAATCTTTGACTAATTTCTTTTTTAAGTTTCAACCTTAGATCATATTATACTATATAGTATATACTATAGTATAATAATTAATAATATATAGTATTATAGTATATGATCTAAGGTTTCAACAATAGTCAATAATTAATAATATGTTTAGAATATAAGATACTAATTTTGTCGACCACAACCATATTTTGGTCATCGTCGTCGGCCGTTGCGTATGATTGTGGAAAAACTAGAAAATCTATTTTTGTTCTATTACACTTGGTATTAACGCGTTGTATCGTCGTGTAACGTGTTCTGAAACTGCTTAGTGTTTACGTTAGCTAATAGACACGACTTACATACAATGTTGTAGAGGGGGGGGGGGCTTGTATTTATATACAATTTGTAAGCACTTATGATTTTGCATACATCACACTACCTCGGTACCAAACGTTTTATTATTTTTATTTTCGATAAGGCGATAATCAACAATAAATTATTTTCGTGTTAATATATTATAGATATAGAAATATAGAATAATATAGATCTATAATTGTTTACACTTATTTAATTATTGAAAATGGAAATGGAGCTGCCTTAATTATTTAAATAAAATTATAATTGTGCATAAATTGTTAAAAGTTATAAAATAAATTATAAGAAATTGTATTTATTTTTTACAATTTAAATGTAGTTGACTGTAAAGAAAAAAATACTAATACACTTTCAATACATTAGTTTTTCTGCTACACTTTCTCAAAACCCACGCTACGGCACTGTTCGATAATGTTTCATGCTTCATTCAGAAACTGGACTAGTGTAGTAGTGTTAAACAACACAAATAAAATAGGACTAAGAGGAGTGTTGAATGTTGATCTTTAATGTAGGAGTGCAGTGAGGTGATGATTTTATGAACTAAAAAATAGCAGACTTGACCACAATGTAGATTTCATTACTTTGATAGGCGGACTTTTTTGGTAGGGAGTTTGGATCTTGGCCTTTTTCACCGTTAGGTTCTTGTTGGGGATATCATTTATTTTTGTGGGCTTCAGCATCGTGGACGTCGTTTTTTTTTTTTTTTTTTGAAATGAAACCATATAT